AGAAATCACAGGGGATGCAAAGAACAGTTACTCATAGATTCAGTCATTCTACGGCAAGCACACAAACAACACAGAAACATACACATGGCATATATAGACTACAGAAAAGCATTCGACAGTGTTCCACACAGTTGGCTGCTACATATTCTACACATGTACAAAATACATCCATCACTCATTGCATTCTTCGAAAACACTATGCAGCACTGGAGAACAACACTACATCTCAGGGTTAGTAACACTTCCATACAAACAAACGAAATATTCATTAGGCGAGGAATTTTTCAAGGAGATTCCTTGAGTCCTCTCTGGTTCTGCCTAGCCCTGAATCCATTATCCAACATGTTAAACAACACGCAATATGGCTACAATATCAGACATGAAAAAACAACACAGTTTACACTGTCACATCTCATGTACATGGACGACATAAAACTTTATGCATCCACACAAAAACAACTTCATCAACTCCTACAAATCACACATTCATACACTAAGGACATACAAATGGAGTTTGGCCTAGACAAATGCAAAAAACTTCACATAGAAAAAGGAATCCTGAAGAAAGAAGATTTTGCACTTGGAAATGGAGACGTTATTGAATCCATGGAAGAGGGCGAGTTCTACAAGTACTTAGGATTCCAACAGGCCAAACTAACAGAACATACACAAATAAAGCAACGATTAATTAAAGAATACCAAAGTAGGTTAAACGCTATACTTAGAACACAGTTAAATGCAAAACACACAGTTAAAGCAATAAACACATATGTCATCCCAGTACTCACATACTCTTTTGGAGTTATACATTGGACTCACACAGATCTCGAGCAACTCCAAAGGAAAACAAGAACAACACTTACTAAGCATAAACAACATCATCCTAAATCCGCCACAGAAAGATTAACCCTTCCACGTAAAGAAGGCGGACGTGGCCTGATTGACATAGTTAACCTTCACTACAAACAAATACAGTCACTGCGAGAGTTTTTCTACAAGAAACAAGAAACATCACAGTTACATAAAGCAGTAACTCTAGCAGACTCAAATAACACACCATTAAACTTACACTCACAACATACAGACATGACACAACATATAAAAAGCATAGACAACATTAAGCAATCATGGGCTCAAAAGGCTCTCCATGGCAGGCATCCTTACGACCTGGCCCAGGATTTTGTTGACAAAACTGCGTCAAACAGCTGGTTAGATCGGGGATGCCTCTTTGGGGAGACGGAAGGATTCATGATTGCCATACAGGATCAGGTCATAAATACTAAAAACTACAGAAAACACATACTCAAAGATACAACACTCACAAATGACACATGCAGAAAATGTCACATCATGCCAGAAACTATACAACACATCACTTCTGGTTGCAAGCTCTTGGCACAGACAGATTACTTACATAGACACAATCAAGTAGCAAATATAATACACCAAGAGCTTGCAAAGAAACACAAATTGGCAGACATCCACGAACCATACTACAAGTATATTCCACAGACAGTATTGGAAAATAACACGCACAAAATGTATTACGACAGAGCCATAATCACAGATAAAACAATTTACCACAACAGACCAGACATCACACTCATTGACAAACACAATAAAATCACATACATTATAGACATAGCCATTCCAAACACTCACAATGTACAAAACACATGCACTGAAAAAATTAGCAAGTACACAGAACTCGCCCAGGAAATAAGGCATCTGTGGAGGATGGATAGGGTGCTTATTGTACCTGTTGTTCTCTCCTGTACAGGTGTGATACCACACACACTACACAAAAGCCTGGGAACATTAGAATTGAGTAGAAATACATACATAACACTACAGAAGGCCACTATATTGAATACATGCCACATTGTTAGGAAATTCCTGAATACAGACACTGACACACTTATTTAATTTTAGTTTTGTTTTGGTTGCTATGCCTTGACTCTGGTTCAGCATAGTACACAGCCACCGGTGTGAACTGAGTAAAACCCACTAAACCCAACATATTAATAATAATAGACTAATAATAATAATGGTTTATTCACAAAAAGAATATTTTCCCTGTTAGGGGAGTGGTACATTTGAAAAGAAAAAATTACAAAATTTTTAAAGATTACAAAAATACCATATATTTCCGCAGATAAGACAATAGTTGAATCATTAAAAAAGGCCCCTAAAATCTGGGGTCATCTTATAGGACAGATACAAAAAAAAATTAGATTGAAATTTATATAAATTAAAATTATTATTAAAAAAAATGGAAAAACCATAATTATTTACTAGTAGAGAGTAGGGTATGGCCACAAAATAGAATAGCCCATATGATGTTTTTGTGAATAGTCAAGGTCATTACTCGAATGCCAAATCAGTGCAAATGTTTGCAACAATAGCAAGGCAGTTCTGCCAGATGCAAGAAAATAAAATTTGTTTATTTGAAAAATTACAAATAGGACATAATTCTGTATACGCTATACCGTATTATTATCCAGATTATGATTGCTGATATAAACTAAATTCATAGGCCGTTAATAGTTTGGGGGTCGTCTTATAGGACAGATATATGCTAAAACTATAAAACTTTGACGAAAATTTATACCTCATCTTATCTGAAGGTTGTTCCTCTTAGTGCTCTCAGAGCGGGAAGAGGCCTTAAAATAAAATAAAAAAAAAAAAATATCTGAAGGTTGTCTTATCTATGGAAATATATGGTAAGTAATAATCTTAATAACATTAACTACAACGCCAGATAATAACAATCAAATTACCTAGGTTAAAATTACAGAAAAAATAACTTTTATGGAGTTACAGTGAACAAACAATTGTTAAGTTAAATTACTGTGGTCTTGATGAAGCAATTATATAGTTTATATAAATTTTATTTATTGTCTTTATTTATTTATTCTAAAACCAAAGAATAGACCACATCAAATTATTTGTTTAATATTAAGTAGATCACATAAACTTATTAAGCCTTGACAGTCCCATAACAACAACAAAGCGAACATCACTCAGACTTTTAGCCTTTTTCACTTACAAGTTAGATATAATCCTTTATTGTTTGTACCACAAAATTATAACTGTCATCACTATTAATATCAATTGGATCAGGAACAACAAAAAAAAAAGCAATTCTCAATTTCAACTAAATATCTTGAAGTGTTATAACTAATCCTCTAACATTTATTAAGAGATTTAATTGCTTCTTTTTACAAGGATGTTTAAAAATTTCCTGTAATAGAAAAATGATCAGATGCATCAATTGTTGTTGTTATAAATTTCAAGCAGTAGTCCAATACAAAATTCTAAACAAATTGTGAAATTAATAGTGGATCCCTACTATGCTGCAAACAGAAATATACAGCTGGAAAATCAAGTTTAATACATCCATTAAGAATGAATAATTTATTATCAATTGTTATTTTGATTAAATTAACTCCAAATCAACTAGTATACTTATCTTTAGAAAAGCAAATGTTTTAAATCTGAGAGTTGGGAACATCATACCATGAATCTAACAAGTCAGAAATACACATGTTAAAGACTCCCAATAATAAGTTGAAAGTGGTAAATGTTGCCAGGCATCATAATTAATTTATATTTAAAATGATTAAAACTGAGCCAGTTTTTAATGACAGTTATCTACATTAGAATTTCAAGTTTCACTCTTCCAAAAAAAAAAACACCTTTTATTTCCTAAATACTCTTTGCTAAATTATGAATATATCTTACGAGATAAAAGATTTTTCTTTCTTTCTTTACAGTGATAACAGCAAGTAGCTAACATATACATTTTAAAAAATTTTTTAAATGGTTATTTTATTTCAATTTGATTAAAATTTCATTCAAAATTTTAATTATAACTAATATAAATAATAATGATATAAACAAAATTAAATAAATAATTTATATACTGTAAGGTCTCGTTTTATGCGGTGGATACGTTCTACAGAAAAGCGCATAAAAAAAATTCGCATAAAAAAAGACTTTACTTGCCTTGAAAAAGTAGGGATAAGTTCCGTAATTTTCTAAAATCGCATAAAACCAAAACAACGAGTTAAAATTAACTTAAAACCGCATAAATAAAGTTTGCAGAAATTAAAAGAAATAGGCTGCTTAATAAATTACTTCGAATGTCTGAAAGAAATTCATATAAAAACTTAAAATAAACTTGTATTCAAACTTAATTCAGTTAATTTTATTGAAAAGTAATATAGTTTTACATTTTTTTTTTGAATTTTTGGAATGTTTTTTAAGTCTCCAAATTTTTTAAAACTATTAAAAATTATACGGCCAGCTTCACCCTACTTTAAACCCTTGTCCTCCCGCGACGTTTATGAGAATGCCCCGGGAAATCCAACTCCAGCTGTGTTTAAGGTCATCCAGATGAATAAACTGACTCATTGGTGTTAAATTTCACAGAAGGGCAAGACAAAGGAAGTTAAACTTTGAAGCTTTTTCTTCAAAATTAACGCATTTCTTTCGTTTTTTTCAGTTTTAGGTATTTTTTATGTTTAATTACATTTATATCAAAAATTGCTAGGAACTAAAGCGATTAAGGTAGATCTAGCTGTCCTTTACATCCATAAACGTTATATGTCAGTGGAACAAATGGAGTGAGCTTTGAGCGTCCCACGATTTTTGGAGACTGTCTATACGCGGACTTCCTAAACAAGCCTATATGTATGTTTGTCCAAAAAAATTTTGGATGAAATACAAACCGCACAACTTCAAAATCGCATTAAAAAAATCCGCATAAAACGAGACCTTACAGTATATATAATATTGTAGTTACATATTCTAGTTGCTTATGATATGTTAAAATTGTATTAGAATTTCTATGAAATTTGTTCTCTTTTTTTGTATTATTGAATGTAATCTTAATTTATATATATTATTTTAAATAGTGATTTAGATTTACTTATTTGTAACACGTTATACACTATAATCATACCTACAGAAAAATTAAGAGAAAGTATTCTTTTTAGGCACAGAGAAGTAGTCATTTGAGTCAACAGTTGGAACATTTGGAAAAAGAATTGCAAGATCAGTTGAAATCTAACAGAGAATTACTGTTAAGTTTAAGGAATCTTAAAACAAGTGAGTTAAATGAAAAATTTGTATTATGACTTAAATTTATTAGGAAACTTGAAATGTAACTTATCTTTATTAATGTATTTTATTAGAATTTTAATTGCTTGTATTTAATTAAATTATTAATGAGTT